ACAGGCGAAATAAAGAATTTGCATTTTTTATGTAGTACATAATAATCCTTTTGTTTGATACAGCGCCTTATCACGTCGTTCAGATGTCTCAAGGCATTTCACAGAATATATTGTAAGTGAATTGATTGTGTATTTTGTGGGTGAAACACAGCAGCCAATTGAGCACAATAGCGTCCCACAAACAGTTATGGATTGAGTGACCAATTTTTAAATTTTGTTGTAGTGCTGATGTGGTCGCAAATGCTTTAAAGGTGCTTTACAGTAATTACTGCCAAGTGTAGTGATTGGTTTTGCGGTTCTTATTTTCTCTCAGTGTCCTGGACAACAATCCCCCAAATAAAATTGGTCATTCATTTCATGGCGGTTTGTGAGATGTTGCAATGTGCAAATTAGCTGCCATGTTTGACACAAAACACAGTCACAGCACTTTACAGTATATCCTCTGAAGCCGTTAGGGATATTCTCCTAACGAAAAAGGCCCTGTTGCACTGTAAGGATTATTATTTTTAGACAAACTGCAGCTGTTTTGCTCACAACAACAAAATTACATTTATAGAACGTCTTTCACGTCGGGAGATATCACAGCAATGTCCCCAAAACAGCTGGAAGGTGAATGACTGATTGATTACAACAGCAAGATTACATTTGTATTGATTAGGTGGATTAGTGGTTTGGACATTAGTAGAAGTTCACCTTTTCCTTTCCACCAGTGCAGTGGGATCCTTTAACACACACCTGAAGAACAATCAGGTGTCAACTTAGTTTAATGTCTCACCTGAAGGACTGACCTCTGATAAATTCAGCACTTGTCCCAGTGACGACACTTAGGACTCACAGCCTCGACAGTCCTGATGCGGGATTTCAGCATAAGCTGCACCTATCTGTTTGTCAGTCCGGCTCATTGGTAAAACTCTCTCCTGAGTCAGAAGGTTGTGGGTTCATGCCCCATGTCAGGACTTTGAACTCAGAGTCTGCCACTCCAGTCCAGTGCATTGTTGGAGATTCTGTCCTCCGGATGAGATGTTAAACTGAGGTCCTGTCTGCCTGTTCAGGTGGACATTAAAGATCACGTGGCACTATTCAAAAAGAGAAGGGAGTTTTCTTGGTGTGTTGGCCAACAGTATTGTCTCCCTGATACACTTTATGGCTGTTTGTGGCACATTGTTGTGTACAAATTGCCTGAAGTGTTTGCCTACAAAAAACAGTCACTTACAGTGAATTGGGTGAAGCGCTTTGGGATGTCCTTTTGATGTGAAATGAGTATATCAAATGTGAGGATCATTATTATACTGAGGTCAATCTGCTTTGCCACGCTTGCCATCTGAATGGAAAGTGTACCAGCCAGTCCTAATTAGCTATGCAGCATCCCTGCACAACATTGCACAAGTCTACACATTGGTTGAGGACAAAATATGTCTCTGATGTACTGATCACCGCAGTCAAAACTTTTGATGTCACGCTGACCGTCGAGACTCGCACTGATTTACTGTGGGGAGGGGAAAGCTGCCAGATGTTCTCCTCACCAGAAGGGAAAGGAAATTGAAAGCCAAGTCACTGCGTCTGCCTGGGTGAGGTTCAGAAGGGCCTGTGGAACCAATCATCACTGATAACTAGTGTCTCGTGGAGCTCACAGCTGGTGCCTTCAGCAGAAGACAGGGGTGGGAGCAATGAGGTGTGTGTGAGAGAGAGAGACGAGTAAATTTAATAATACGTGCTGTTTGGGATTTCATGAACCACACTAATATATACAACATCATCAACATGATTGCATTTATAGAGCGCCTTTCACGTTGGGAGGACGTCCCAAGGCACTGTACAGTTGGGTCAGGACCCGAGCATGGGGGAAATGGTCAGGGTGAGGGGAGGGAAGGGAGGGAGCGAGGAGGGGGGAAATGGTCAGGGTGAGGGGAGAGAAGGGAGGGAGCGAGGAGATGGTCGGGGTGAGGGGAGGGAAGGGAGGGAGCGAGGAGGGGGTAGAGAGTCGAGAGCGGAGCTGAAGGCTGAAGGTCAAAGAGAAAGGTCTTGAGACCGGCCTTGAAGGAGGAAAGGGAGGAGGCGGCGAAGGCACTGGGGATGGAGTTCCAGAGCCTCGGGGCTGAGAGGCTGAAGGCCACCGATGGTCGGGCGGTTGGGGCGGGGGATGTGGAGCAGACCGGAGCGAGAGGAACGGAGGGTACGGGCAGGTAGGTAGGGGGATAGTAGGTCGGAGAGGTAGGAGGGAGCGAGGCCGTGAATGGCCTTGTAGGTGAGGATGAGGATCTTGAATTTGAATAATAATATATATATATGCAGATAAACAAACGTGTAGATAATTGGGGTGCTGATAAACGGTATGGCTATGTGGAAAAAAAGCTATTTAAAACTGATCACAGGGTGGTGCATATGTACAATGGAATGCTACCAAAATCAGTTAATGTTGTGACAGTTTGTTCCTTTTATTAGAGAAAGAAGTTGATTAAGAAAGGGATTAACATTTAGAAGTTGGGAAATATGAGAAACTTTTGTGAGGAATGCAACCCAATAGGGTTGAATAATGTAGGTTACAGTGTTGGCGATCCAGCTCCAGTTACCTCTGGAATTAGGAAAAACATTAAACTTTATTGTTTAACTCCAGTTATTTCCCTACCTCAGCAGTCTGAATAAGGGAACATTGATGAGAGTGAAAAACTAACCTCTCGGTTGAAGGAATAGGCTTTTCTTGACCTGACCATCAAATCCCTTTGAGATCTTACACCTTTGGTGCCCCGTCACTCCAGTTCCTGTTAGGCCCCACTGGCTCCCTAACACTGAACAGATCGATTTCAAAATCCCCAATTCATCTTCAAATCCCTTCCGGCTCTGGCGCCTCCCTACCTCTCCGACCAGATTTGTGGAGTCCTGTAGCTCAGTGGTTAGAGCACTCGCTTTGCAAGTGAGTCCTGAGTTCAATTCCAGGCAGAGGGCGAAACCTTGGGCAAGTTTCCTTACTCCACACAGAGCCTAATAACAATCCCTCCAAAACCAATAATAAATTGGTCATTTTCAATCCACGACTGTTTGTGGGACATTGCTGTGCGCAATTGGCTGCCGCGTTCGCCCACAAATATACAGTCAAATCACTTTACAGTGTGTTCTGTGAAGCGCTTTGGGACGTCCTCCCGACGTGAAAAGCGCTATATCAAATGCAAGGATTATTATTATTATTACTCCCCAACCCACTACCTGTTGCATCCGCTCAACTGGCTCCGGTCTCCTGCATATCTCTTGCACCCTTGGTTCCACAACCTTTCTCAATTCTCCAATTCCAGCCTGTGCCGCCTGGTCTGCTAATTTTTCCTAGATCACTCTGGCTTAACATCGGTGGCTAAGCGTTCATCCTCTATCCTTGCTCTTTGGAATTCTCTTCCTAAATCAATTGTGTCTTCAAAACCCTCATTAAAAACTTATCTCTGTCTTTGTCCAGACCCTCGATTTCCCCCTCATTTACTCTTTGCTCAATATAATAATAATAATCCTTGTATTTGATATAGTGCCTTATCACGCTTTAAGACATCTCAAAGTGCTTCACAGAATATACTGTAAATTGACTACATATTTTATGGGTGAAAAGCGGCAGCCAATTGCGCACAGCAGTGACCCACAAACAGTTGAGGATTGAGTGACCAAATTATTATTATTATTTATTTACTTTTAATGGGATTATTTTCATTGGAAAAGAGATGCGCAAATTGACTAACAACCAGGTTCCTACTTACTGCTGGGTAAGCAGAGCCGTGTGGAGTAAGGAAACTTGCCCAATGTTGCGCGCCCGGGAATCGATCCAGGTCCTCTTGCTTGTGAGGCGGGTGTCTAACCACTGAGCTACAGGATTCCACTGATCCCTGTTGCCTTTGTTAAGCAGTTTAAGATGTGCATCCCCAGGTGAAAGGTACTGTATAATCTTGTTATTTTGTAGTACAGTAGTGAAAACATAAAACTAGTCAAAGATTTTTAGATTGCATGAGTCACAGCCCTTTTCCCTTTGTGTGGTGAGTTATCCAGAGTTTAATGTCTAGCCAAGTTAGGGGATGGTCACTGTACTTGATTAATTACTGTACCTCAATGCAATTAAAGCACTCAATTGTTTTTGTTTTGCATTTAATTCAGTTAAATTCAGATCACCCCTCAACATTCTAAATTCAAGTGATTTATTATAAGATTGTGTGGAATTTTGGAAAATTCAGATTTCTGTCTCAATGTGGAAATTGTTGTTTTGTTATGAACTATAGAAAACTAGCTTCCAAAGTGACTACTAATTGATCCCAGGTGTAATGTTTGTTGTAGATTTCAATTGTGATCCTATAGGATTACACAAAGAATGCGTGAAGGGTGAGAGGGTCAAGGAGCTGGGGTGTCAGGGGTTAAGGGGTGGGATGTTGGATGGGTATGTAGATGGAGAAATGGTCGATTGTGCCTGAAACATTTACTATGAAGTGGAAGATACTGGGGTGGGCAGAATATACCCTCATTATGTATGTAGTTCCATGTTGATTTTGAGTACTATTGACTTGTCACTAAAGCCTAAACCAGCAATTGCAATTGTACATATTGCAGGATTGCATTTCTTCTCATGTTTGACCCTTCAACGTTACAACTTCCCTTTTTGTGTGTCTCTAAATTGCCTTTGTGGAGTCCCATAGCATATGTTAGAGCACTCGCTTCGCAAGTGAGTGAATCCGGGTTTGATTCCCGGGCAGGGAATCAAACCTGGATCAAACCTTAGGAAAATTTCCTTACTCCACACGCCTCTGTTTACCAGCAGAGCGTAGGAACCTGGTTGTTAGACAATTGGCGGATCACTTTCTGGGGAAAATAATTGCTCAAAAATAAATATGGTCACTCACTCAATGACTTTGTGCGACACTGCTGTGCACAATTGGCTGTCGCTTTTTCACTGACAGTTCAGTGTTTTTCATGTGGTTTAATATTATGAATGAGTAGTTTTATACTTGTAACTTTCTGCTTTTTTTGCTTGGTTTCAGCTGTGGGAATAGGATCCTGGTGCTTCCACATGACGCTGAAATATGAAATGCAGGTGAGCACTCTCCTAACACATGTCCGTGTGCTGTTTAACTCACTCAGTCAGCCAAGACAGCCGGCATTCAAGATTTCTCATCCGCATTTAATAATAATAATAATCCTTACATTTGATATAGCACCTTATCGCATCGTTCAGATGTCTCAAAGCGCTTCACAGAATATATTGTAAAGAGGGACCAAATTATTTTTTTTCTTTGAAGGGATTATTATCCCCAGAAAGTGCCAATCGACTAACAACTGGTTTCAAAAAAATATAATTACTTAATTGGAGATGAGGTACAGATCAGACATGATCTTATAGAATGGTGGAACAGGCTCAAAGGGCTGAATGGCCTCCTCCTGTTGCTAGCTAAACGGAGGCATGAGGAGTAAGAAAACTTGCCTAAGAGTTCACCCTGCCCAGGAATCAAATCCAGGTCCTCTTGTGTGCGAGGCGAGTGCTCTAACCACTGAGCTACAGGACTCCACCGTAATGAGCATTCGCATGTGGCCGCTCCACACCCCAGTAACTAGTGGAGCTGCCACTCCATCCCAAAGATCCAGGCTGGATAGCATCTGTGTTTCTTCCCTCCAATATTCCTATTTTCCTGCTTATTCCTTACCCAAGCTGTCCATTGCTACTCCATATAGTACAAGTACAATATAATGCAGCAGTTGGATAATTGTAGAATCATAGAATCCTACAACACAGAGGGAGGCCATTCGGCCCATCATGCTTGTGCCGGTCTTTGGAAGAGCCACCAACTAGTCCCACTCCCTACGCTCTTTCCCCATAGCCTTGCAACTTTTTTTTAATGTATCTATCCAATCCGTTTTGAAAGCTACTATAGAATCATAGAATCTGACAGGATAGTGGCACTCAGAAGGTCCCGGTCAGGATACCTGGTTTGCTTTGTCCCCTGGGACTGCGAGTTAGGTAGAGCCTAACGCCCTGAGTATCCGTTTGATTGCTAACCAGTGGTGCCTACTATAAGTGCACACGTGGATATCTGAGGCCAGAAATTCTCCATTGTTCTTGGACTTGAGACTATTGTCTTAAAATTAAAAATCCTTGCAGACTGTTTGTGGGACACTGCTGTGCGCAATTGGCTGCCCGGTTTCGCCCACAAAGTATACAGTCAACTCACTTTACAGTATATGCTGTGAAGCGCTTTGAGACGTCTCGAAGATGTGATAAAGCGCTGTATCAAATGCATTGTTATTATTTTAGAGTGGGAGATGGCTGGCGTATAGAGAGCGAGCAAGCCGACTGCTCGTGGAAGCAGTCAAGTTTGTCAGGGTTTGCTGTTCGGGAATTTCTGGATCGCTAACGCAATGCTCCACTATAGTTTTAGTTCGCTCTGAATTTTAAGCTATTCTCAACTCACAGATAAACTGCTTGCTTGTTGCTGCCTGCACTGCTTGTTTAGAACTCTTTTGGTAATTAATTCAGGTCTTTGTTAAGGTTTTGAAAAGCATTCTTCCAGCTATGCTAAACGTCCTTTAAGTAATGTGTTCCGTGGGCAGCCTGGCTCAGTTGGTCACATTCTTGCCTCTGAGTCGGAAAGTTGTGGCTTCAAACCATGAGTTGTTTGATAGATCACTTTTCTGGTGATGATAATCCCCTCAAATAAATAAATAAAAACTATTAATAATTTGGACACTAAATCCACATCTGTTTGTGGGACTCTGCAATTGGCTGCTGCGTTTTGCTACAAAATAATCAGTCAATTCACTTTACATTTGGTGAAGCGCTTTGAGACGTCTCAAAGTCATAAGGTGCTATATCAGATCCAAGGATTATTATTATTGTTGGGACTTTGAATTTGTGTTGTCTAGGCTGACCCTTTAGTACAGAGCTGGGGAGCACTGCATTGTTGGAGGTGCCGTCCTTTGGATAAACCGTTAAACTGAGGTCCCATCTCTGCTTGTTCAGGTGGATGTTAAAGATCCCGCGATGCTAACCCAAAAGAGAAGGGAGTTTCTCTCTCTCTGTATCCTGGCCAACAATCCCCCAAATAAAATTGGTTATTGGTTACTTCATTGCTGTTTGAACATAAGAACATAAGAATTAGGGGCAGGAGTCGGCCATTCGGCCCCTCGAGCCTGTGCCCCGCCAATCGATAAGATCATGGCTGATCTCCTGACCTAACTCTAATTACCCGCCCTCTCCCCATATCCCCTAATCCCTCTGTTTTTTAAAAATCTATCAGTCTCAGCCTTGAAGATGTTCGAGGACTGACATCTACAGCCTTCTGGGGAGTGAATTCCATAAATTCACTGCCCTCTGAGTGAAGAAATGTTTCCTCAACTCTGTTCTAAAAGGCTGACCCTTAATTTTCAGACTGTGACCCCTGGTTATAGATTCTCCCACCGGGGAAACAGACCCTCAGTGTCTACTTTATCAGCCCTTTAAGAATCTTATATGTTTCAATAAGATCTCCCCTAATTCTTCTGTACTATAGAGAATACAGCCCCAGTTTATTCAGCCTCTCCTCATAGGTCAGTCCCCTCATCCCAGGCACTAACCGAGTGAATCTACGCTGCACCCCCTCGAGGGCAAGTATGTCCTTTTTTAAATAAGGAAACCAAAACTGCACACAATCCTCTCGGTGCGGTCTCACCAAAGCCCTATACAGCTGCAGTGAGACTTCCCTACTCTGGTACTCTAAACCTTTTGCAATGAACGCTAACTGCCGTTCCCCTTAGTTGCTGCTGCACCTGCAAACTAACTTTTTGAGACTGGTATACAAGGACACCCAAATCCCTCTGAACACTATCTAATCTCTCCCCCTCTAGAAAATAATCTGTTTTTCTATTTTTTCTACCTTGGTGAATAACTTCACACTTCCCCACATTAAATTCCATCTGCCACCTACTCGCCCACCCCCCCTCGCCTATCTATATCCCGTTGCAATCTTTTCGCATCATCCTCAGAGCTCACTCTCCCACCGAGTTTAGTGTCATCCGCGAATTTAGATACGTTACATTCAATGTCCTCGTGTCGATCATTGATGTAAATTGTAAATAGCTGAGGCCCAAACACTGATCCTTGTGGCGCTCCACTAGTCACCTCCTGCCAATTCGAGAATGAGCCATTTATCCCTACTCTCTGTTTTCTACCCATTGGCCACTCTTCAATCCATGTTAATATGTTCCCATTAATCCCACGGGCCTTAACCTTGTGCAGTAGCCTTTTGTGGGACTTTACTCTGTGTAAATTGCCTGCCTGGTTCACCTGCAAAAGACAGTCACTGAACATTCGCTATATCAAATGTAGGGGTGAGCATGAGCATGAAAATCTCTCCTCAGGAGGTTTCAGGACCTGAGGAAATATTACCAATGGCTTAAGCTAAGTTGCTGTTGTGATGTTCTTTGAATGTGCTTACGGTCACTTCCCCCCTCCCTCTCCCGCTGGCTTGGGGTCAGACTCCAGCACTCCGAGATGCTAATATTGTTATAATAATAATAATCCTTGCATTTGATATAGTGCTTTTCACGTCGGGAGGACGTACCAAAGCGCTTCACAGAACACACTGTAAAGTGAATTGACTGTATATTTGTGGGCGAACGCGGCAGCCAATTGCGCACAGCAATGTCCCACAAATAGTCGTAGATTGAAAATGACCAATTTATTATTGTTTGGGTTTTGGAGGGATTATTATTAGGCTCTGTGTGGAGTAAGGAAACTTGCCCAAGGTTTCGCCCTCTGCCTGGAATTGAACTCAGGTCTCTCACTTGTAGAGCGAGTGCTCTAACCACTGAGCTACAGGACTATTGTTGATCTTAAGACTGGTCTCAAACGTTGTAATTGAGGGTATGATTGGATGCTTTTGTGCCACCAGTGAACTCACCCTCTTTCTGATCTCTATCCTAGCTGCTGGATGAACTTCCCATGATCTACAGCTGCTGTATATTTGTCTACTGTCTGTAAGTACTTGTCAGTGTTGGATTTCCTCCAGAGTATGGAGCTGTCACAGTCATTACGTTCCTCAGTGTCACCCATCGTATAGAGTGATCCAACTAGAAAAGCAGCCAAGGAGACGGGCAGAGCTGTTGCACCTCATGTCACCACTACATTCCTGCCATACTTGGCACACGTCGGGTGTATTCATGTCTCTGAAATTTTTAAGGCTAGGTCGTGTTGCATGGTTCATTGCCCACTTTTGTATTTAACTTGACAATCGTGGCATTCTACTTGACCTCCCAGACATCCACCTGTGTGTCTGTCTCCCTGTCTGCTCCAGTGCCTGATGAGCCTCACCCTTTTCCACCTCCAGAATAGTGTCCACCTACACCGTAGTATTGGTTCGAGAACTTGCCTCGCAAGTGAGAGGACCTGGGTTTGATCGGGAGGGGCTAACTATCCTAACTGTCTCTTCACTGTCTGCAATGCAATATCTGACAGTTCTATTCTCCTTCCTGAGTTCGCTGCTTCTCAGTTTCTGGTCTATGTTTTTCTATTGCTCCTTTTTTTCCCTTCACCCACCAATTGGTTGCCAAGCTTTCGGCCTCTATGCTTATGCCTGCTGATATTCTTCTAAATTCTCTGTGTCCCTTCCCTGATCCGGCTCCACTGGCTCCCCATCACCCAGAGGATAGAGTTCAAAATCGTCATCCTCGCCTTCAAAGCCCTCCACGGCCTTGCCCTTTCCTACCTCTGTGACCCGCTGATCCCTCTGCTCAGCAGACTCCAGCCAGCTCCACGTCCCCAGCGTGACCCGCCCCACCTTCGGCAGTCGGACCTTCAGCCTCTCTGCTCCCAGTCTCTGTAACTCCATCTCACAGTCCCTTCCCCTCGCCCCCTCTCTCCTTCAAGGCCCATCTCAAGACCCTCTTCTTCGACCGAGCTTTTAGTCACCCTTCTACCTCCACACTCCCTGCCCTCCTCCCCTCCTGATTTCAAACCCCAGCTTGGGGCCAAATCTCTGACCGCCTTGGGAGGTCCTCCTGACATAAAAGGGGTTGTGTAAATGTTGTTTGTTGTTGTTATCTCCCTGCCTCATTTGCAGTGATCCTTGTCATATATTTCAAGTGCTCTGAGCCGTGCTTTCTATAAGAAAGGTGATTAATATGAGTGGGAGCAAATGCAATGTGTATAAACAACAAATGTATAATTTTAATTCCATCTTCACTGAAGCACAGTCAAATGTCATTTTTAACACATGCATCTGCGTGTGACTGGGTGAGGGGCCAGCTGGTCAAAGCATGGAGCTATCCTATCAATCATCACAGATCTATCCAAGTGATTTTGATGGAAAATTGAATTGTATAACTGTGTCTCAGGCGGTGTTTGGTAGATTGCTGAAACAACAAGTTGTAACTACTTCTGTCTGCAGGTTGTTGATCAGGAGCATTTGGAAAAGCTTCTTCCCCTGGCAGAAGCCAGTGCAATGTGTACAGATAACAAATGTTTGTTTCATTTTCATTCTGTCTGCACTGTTGCGCAGTCAAATGTTCTTTGTAATATGCACATCTGTGTATGTGTGGGTGTAAAGGGCCAGCTGGTCAAAGCATGGAGCTATCATCAATTCTCATAGATCCAACCCAGAAAGTGTTACTTAATGCATGACTGTTTGGGGGACACTGCTGTGTGCAATTGGCTGCCATGTTTTGCCCACAAAATACACAGTCACTGCACTTTACTTTCTGTGAAGTGCTTTTGAGACTTTTCAAAGCCATGTAAAGGTGCTATATCAAATGCAAATATTATTATTACTGTAAGACCACCCACTTAGCTGCCTTATCAGAGACTCTGAAGGGGAAAGCAGTGGGAGAGAGCTTTAAGGAGAGTTGAAATGGGAATCAAATAGGGTTTGGGCTAGAACACAAGGGCAAGTTGAGGGAGAGGATCAACCTGACTTCTGAATCGATGCATTCATAGTTAACCTTCTAACTTGTTCCTAAGCTGTTAAATTATTCTCTATGTAAGAAAGGCTTGCCATTGTCTGTCAGAAACTTGCCTCACCCAGGCCTGAATCCGTGTCCTCTTTTCCTGCTGCGTTTGCACGTCAGAAAGTTTGCCTCTGGGTTTATCTCTGTCACATTTAACAGTTTGTTTACCTCTAAACAGATATTTCCCTGGTGCCATGTCTTGTTAAGGCTAGTTGAGGAGCCTCTAGAGTGTTCTGTCTAGTTTCTTGTAGCTGAAATATCTAAATCAGCAGAAATGTTGGATGTTCACTATGATCTTTCACATTCCCACTTGTAGTTCAAGCTTCAATTGCCTGACCCTCTGATCGTCATCTATTTTTTGTACGTTTGCATTTCTTTACTTATCTGTCTCCGTCTCCATTCCAAGTGGAATAAATGGAATACTATTTAATAATAATAATCCTTGTATTTGATATAACGCCTTATCACATCTCTGAGAAGTCTCAAAGCGCTTCACAGAATACACTGTAAAAATAGATTGTGAGTATTTTGTGGCTGAAAATGCGGCTGCCAATTATGCACAGCAGTGGCGCACAAACTTTCCGAAGATGTTGCCCTGGTTGGGAATCAAACCCATGTCCGCTCGCTCACGAGGCGAGTGCTCTAACCACTACACTGTGGGACTCCCCTTATCTGGCGGGTGAGCTAAAAGTGTCTCTCAGGATTGGGCTGTACTGGGAGGAGTAAAGAATACTGTACTTCAGGAAGATAAGGTAACATTCTGTATCTGATTTTTTTTAAACTAATCTCTGTCACATTCTCTTTAGACATTCAAAAAATATGATAGTGAAATTCGTTCATTGATTTTATCCCAATCTGGCAAGATTAGAGGGGAAAAAGACCATTTTTTTTTACAAAGAACAGGTTTCTAGAAAGATTTAAAAAGGACTAGCCCTCTTTTCCCTCCCCTTTGCACCACTTGGTGGTGAGGGGAAGAGAGAGTGATAGAGAGAGGGAGAGAAAGGGAGGAAAAGGATTGTGTATAACGTAAAAACAACAAATGACATTTACACAGCGCCTTTCACATCGGGAGGAAGTCCCAAGGGGCAGGATTTGGACCCGAGCTGGGGATTGGGATCAGGAGGTGAAGAGGGGAGGGTGGGGGTAGGAGGGTGGCTGGTCGAAGAGAAGGGTCTTGAGGTGGGCCTTGAAGGAGGCAAGAGAGGAAGTAAGGTGAAGGGACTGTGGGATGGAGTTCCAGAAGGTGGGGCCAGAGAGGCTGAAGGCCCGAATGCCGATGGTGGGGTGGCCCGGGCGGGGGACGGTGGAGCAGGCCAGAGCCTGCTGAGTGGTCCTCTACCCTACCTCTGTGACCTGCTAGGTCCCTATCAACATGGACTGAGTAGGTCCACTCAGGTGTCCTGTAGCTCAGTGGTTAGAGCACTCGCTTTGCAAGCGAGAGACCTGAGTTCAATTCCAGGCAGAGGGCGAAACCTTGGGCAAGTTTCCTTACTCCACACAGAGCCTAATAATAATCCCTCCAAAACAAAACAATAATAAATTGGTCATTTTCAATCCATGAATATTTGTGGGACATTGCTGTGCGCAATTGGCTGCCGCGTTCGCCCACAAATATACAGTCAATTCACTTTACAGTGTGTTCTGTGAAGCGCTTTGAGACGTCGAGAAGACGTGAAAAGCGCTATATCAATGCCAGGATTATTATTATTTTAGGGAGGGTCAAGGCCGTGGAGGGCTTTGAAGGTGAGGACAGGGATTTTGAACTATATCCTCTTGGGGATGGGGAGCCAGTGGAGCCGGGCGAGGGTGAGGTTGATTACCTGTATTACCAGGGATTTTAGTTATCAAGAGAGACTTGAGAAGTTAAAAGGTTAACAAAGGCAACTTGCATTTATATGGTGTCTTCCCACCGAGTACTTCACAATCACGGAGGTCCCAGTTGCTGAGCAAGGAAGGGGAAGGTGACTATAGGCTCGGTGAAAGAGGTAGATCTTTAGGTAGGATTTAAAGGGACAGAGAGAGGTGTGGTGGGAGCATGGGGGGGCCAGATGGAAGGGTAGACGGAAGGCTTCCAGAGTTTAGAGTCGTAACCTCTGGGATTCTACCAAAGCACGGTCTGAGGGAAGGTTAGGCCAGCAGCCCAGGTTAGGCGAGGGGAGGGAACAAGCAGAGAATCCGAGAGATGGGGGAGTGCCACTGTGTGAAGAAATTTTAAAGTGAGGGTGAGAATAACAATAATAATAATAATCCTTGCATTTGATATTGCGCCTTGTCACATCGTTGAAACTTCTTAAAGAGCTGCACAACAATATACAACAACAAAATTACATGTTTGTAGGGCCTTTCCGTTGGGCGGTCTTCTCAAGGCACTGGACAGCCAGTGTTTCGGACCCCAGCTGGGGGTTGCGATTGGGGAGGGTGGAGGGCGGGGAGGAGGTAGGGTGATCGACGGCACAGTCGAAGAGGAGGGTCTTGATACTGGTCTTGAAGAAGGCAAGGGAGAGAGCAAGGCAGTGGGACTGTGCGGATGGAGTACCAGAGGGGCAGAGTAGCAGAAGGCCTGCCCTCCAATTGTGGGGCAGGCGAGGCGGGGGACGTAAAGCAGGCCAGAGGGAGCAGAAGCAGCAGAAGGCCTTTGAAGGTGTGAGGACCCATCTCAATCTGTATCCTCTATGTGATGGGGCAGGGGCGAGGGGGGTGGGTCACGGAACCTAAAGAGGGAGAGGACACGGACTGACGAATTCTGGATGACTGGCCTGGAGTAGATGGGGAGGCCGATAGCAAGGGTGTGGAGTAGAAAGGATAGTTGAGGGTCAATTAAGATGCCAAGGTTCCGAACTGGCTTAGTAAGGTGGAGTGTGTATCCCTGGTGATGCTGTGACCATCTGAAGTGTGAAGGAGCTGATGGAAGCCAATCAGGAGAGCCTCGGTCTTGTTGACGTTCAACTGAAGAAAGTTAGCTCTTATCCAGGACTTGATCGCTGACAGACATTTTGTCAGCCCAGCAGTGGTCCTTTGGTCAAAGGTGGAGGCAG